AGGCACGGCAGGCAATTAGTCTCGCCGCGCACACCCCCGCACACGTGGCCGCACGACAGTACACGAGAGCAAGCCTCCTTAGCGAGCTCCTTCGCAACATAGTCAGTAGTTATAAAAAATTCTTTTTTGTTGATATCATTTTATAAAATGTTTCTACAGTAATGATAAAAAGAAGATAACAATGTGGGCAGATTCAGCCACGTGGAATTGGATTTCAGCTTTTATGTATGTGTTTTCACATTTTCTTACGACGCAAGCATATAGCTTATATTTCACATTCATTTCACTGTTGATTCAATATGCTTTCGTGTAGAAAAACAAATGTTTGCCATAAAGTTGTATAAACTTAGAAGAGTATTATTTGCACTACTTCTAGTGACTGGTCTGGACATTTTGTATCCAATTTTAGTATTTATCCACTGCTTATATTCTAATAGTATACCCAAAAATGTGAATCTGGATTACCGCTTTTGGGCAAAAAATATTTTTTATGGTAGGACAGTTAGTCACTTTTATACGAGTACATCAATATATAGTTAGAATTAAAAATGCACATTTAAAGCTTTAATAAAAATAAGTTAATTGGATTTGACAATTAAAATCATTGTTAAACGAATATGCAAAACAATTTTCGTATAAGCTATAAAAAATATTTACGGACAATCTTTGACATACCTAAATAAAATGAGAACTGATAACCAGGGAAGACATGCTCAAATTCAGCTCTAAATAGGGGTCACAACAGACATAATATAAAAGTTTAATACGATACCCTATGTACCTGACACTGTTCCTCTGCACAAACATTTCCTATGGCCAGGAGGCCTGAAATGCTTCTAGTGCCACAGAATCTGCAAGTGCCGGCTGTGCCATGGGTTCCATTCGAGGTGCCTTCACCGGCAAGCACATTTGCGGGGTCAGTGACTTGGTTCAATCCTCTAAACTCTGCTAATCCTTTTAGAGTAGATCTATCAACCAGCATGAGGATCCAGAACAGTTTAGCTCTCCCGCACCCCTCGTGGATGTCGATGCGGATCGCGCTTTTTTCCTCTTTGCATATCTACGAGAAAGATTAAACTTCTATGAAGGTATTACTTTTACATTGATTTTGAAAACGTCGTTTAGAATTATTACAACCGAATTCTTCACATCAAACCCAAATCGTTAATGTCCTTTAGTCCTTTAGTCTATTGATTGTCAAAACCCACATGTGGGCAAGATGGATACTATGAAAGTTGTAAAGCTTGTCTTCCTTAGCCCTAATCTTTATTAGACTTCACCAAAACCAGTAATCTATTGAAAGGATGAAAAAATAAGTTAGATAGTTTGCTTTACCTGACGGCTATGTGACCTCGCGGCACGGTTAAGATGAAGGAAGCGGTCACACTCCGCGCAGAGGGAGCCGCACGAGCTGCAGTCGATCACAGCCA